GCGTATGTGCACATACGATACATGTATGTATGTATGTTTGTATGTATTGCGACCGCTGCCCTGAATTCGTCGGTCGCCACTCGTGAGAGTAAGTCCAAGTCCCCCACGCGTCTCTCCGCGCTTCTCGGCCCGCCATAATTAACCGGCACACGACAGTGACTCTATATGATTCATCAATTACTCGCATAAGACACGATTGGGCGCCAGGCATGCGGTACGTGCCACGAAAGTTCGAAATTCTATTCGTTTGCGGGCCGAGATGCGACACGCGGCGACAGATTAGTGTCGGTCCACAATAGGTGATTTAAGCTTTAAGAAGTAAGAAATTGACCAATTATAATCGAATATGAAAAGAATAATTGACTATGATTGGTCAATTTCTTACGACTTAAAGATTAAATACTTATTGTGGACCGACACTTACACGGCTACTCAGAAATGATTAGGAAGAGAGGGAGATCCAGTAGTCACGGCGCTATTCGAGGGATGAGAGAGAGAGAGTAAATAATTAAAGTCAATGGTTAACAATTAATAACAAGTTTATTCGCGAACCTTTCAGAGCGGCCCCGAGGCTGTTAACACAAATTCGATCTCACCGGTCGCGCGATGTAAACAAAAATGATCGGCAGTACCAAGAGATCTCCGATAACAATATTCGCGGCAATTCGACAAGAAATTTCTCATGCGAGATTCGCCACATAAGCTCTCGAAATTTGCAACGGGACTGCAGCAACATATCTAATGCCCCGCATGCAATTAATTAGCGCTAATAATTAGATCAACGCAACTCGGACGGAAATAAGCGCACGGCAATCCGCAGCCTGAATAACAACACGCGCAAGCGAAAATGTGCGGCTAGCTAAGCTCGCGATAGAAGCAAGGCAGCACAGTATACGAAATAGCAAATAGCATAACAACAGCGAAATCGCACGTTAACGATAATTCAAATCTATGCGACACTATAGAAAGCGATTAGCAATCGCCATAACGCTTCGACATGCAAAGACGACGCAATTTCACAGCGCGAAACAACAATTAATAGCCGTCGAAATGGCACGAAAAGACAACGCGTACATCAATTACGAGCCGGCAAAAGAAACATTAACAGAAATGACTTAATGTGGCCGGGGGAAGGGAGGGAGGAAGGCGAAAACGTTATCTTTCTCTTGAGACGGGCGACCGCCATGACCACTGCAGGCACCGGCACTCAGTTTCTCGCACTCTAATTGGCACTCACTTAACCTGCGACACCGGCATTTCCGCGACGATTGCATGATACACCCGCCGATCACGAGACGGAGGGCTTTACATTAAGCTAAACGCTCAGCTTACCAATGTGGGCTATGTCTCCTCGGCAACGTCCTCGGATTTGCGTCCGTCCAATATGAGCGCACTATGATAAGTGATTTCTCGCACCCTCGTGGGACACACGGGCGATCGCCATCTCTCTCTCGCAATTTTACTATTGGCTGAAAATCGATTAATTGCGTGGCTCTAATCGGCGACGCGCCGCGAAGTCCTCGCGGGAAACTCAAAAGCGGCATCTGCGGTCATGTCCTTCAGTTTCTTAGCTTCTCATACTTTGAGATTCTCACATCTCATCTCGTCAACTTAGTATCCTCGCCGGTTTCCCGTTCTTCCGGAGTCTCGCCCCGCGACATTCCGTGATCGTGGTCCTCCACGTTTTGTTCCGTGTGACGCCTTCTCGCCCCGCTCGCCTCTTGATTGGCAGTAATAATTTTCTCAGCTGGAAAAGAGATCTATTTAACAGCGGCATTTCCATTCCTGCTGACACAAGTGCGGGAGGAATAAGGTGACCTGCGTGTTCCATCGCGTCCACGTCGCTCCCTCCTCAGGTATTCCTCCTGCATCCGCGTATCCGCCACGCTGGTCTTCACCTGTCGGTGAATGCAAAATGCATGCGGGAAGCAGCTGTCACACCGCGTTTTGAAAATAATAACGGTTGCCGCACGTGACCGCGACAACGGGCCCAAATAGCAATCATCCACTCTCCTTCCCCCATCGGAAGACGCGGATCCGAGTCGACTGCTCCGCAGTCGGGACCTATGCCCCTTGTGATCGGCAGCTACAAAACGCCACGTCATAGTATGTATATATGTATGTACGTATGTGTATGTACGTATGTATTAGATGTACAAAAAAATTCTGAGCTTTAGATTTCATACAACAGAAATAACAATTTAAATTTTATATATCTTCCCACCCTTTTACGGTTTTAAAGCGTTGACATTTGGCTTTCTAAAATGCCATACGATTTGGCGTTTGATGCACATAACCTCAAAAATCAGTAGTGTTCACGACGGCAATAACAAAAGAGCATATTCGATTTTCCATCCACTTCGCGTTTCATCTGAAGAAAAATGCTGCTGAAGCCACTGCAATGATTTGTGCTGCATATGGAGAAAACGCTATAAGTACTATATGTAAAAGATGGTATCAAAAATTTCACCAAGGAGATTTCAGTCTTGAAGATGAATCGTGTGCTGGAAACTCTCAAAAGATTGAAACAGACGAATTGCAAGCACTGTTGGATATAAACTCTGCGCAAACTGAAAAGGAGCCTGCAGAACAGCTTGGCGTTACACAGCAAACCATTTCCATACGTTTACATACGATGGGAAAGGTTCAGAAGGAAGGGAGATGGGTTCCGCATGAATTGTCTGAAGACAACAAAGATCGTCGGCGTGACACTGCACTCACTTTGCTTTCAAAGTTCCGGAAAAAAGATTTTCTGCACAAAATCATTACAGGCGATGAAAAGTGAATTCTTTATGATAACCTAAACGTAAAACATCATGGGTTGATCCTTGTCAACCTTCGACATCGACGCCAAAGTCCAATATCCACGCCAAGAAGATTTTGCTCTGTATCTGGTGGGATTGGAAAGGTGTGTTGTATTACGAGTTGTTACAACCGGGTGAAACAATCACGGCAGACCGCTATCAACAACAATTGACCAATTTGAGCGATGCATTAGAAGAAAAGAGGCCATTTACTGGCCAAGGACGTCATAAAATAATCTTACTTCATGACAATGCTCGACCACATGTTGCGAAAGCGACTCAGGACCATATCTTTGCGTTAGGCTGGGAACTTCTCCCACACGCGGCGTATAGCTCAGACATGGCGCCTTCCGATTACTACCTATTCCGGTCGCTGCAGCATCATTTGACTGATACACATTTCGCGAGATTTGAAGAAATACGAAAATGCATTGATGACTTTATCGCTTCGAAGCCGGTGAGCTTCTATCGTCAAGGAATTCGCAAGCTATCCGAAAGATGGTAAAAGGTCGGTTGATGCAAACGGGAAATATTTCGTTGATTAATATTTTTTTGTTTGTTTTTGAATAAAGATTGAATTTTACAAAAAAGAGCTCAGAACTTTTTTGTACACCTAATATATATAAATATAT